TCTCCAGGATGTCTGGCTCTAGGTCAGCAACTACATTGTCTGGGTTGTCCGGGATATCCACATCTTTCTGATATAATTCCTCTGTGTATTCTTGCCACCTCTTCTTGATGTCTTCTGCTTCTGTTAGGTCCCTCCCATTTTTGTCCTTTATCATGTCCATCTTTGCGCGAAATGTTCCTCTAATATCTCCAATTTTCCTGAACAGATCTCTGGTTTTTCCTTTTCTGTTATTTTCCTCTATTTCTTTGCATTGTTCATTTAGGAAGGCCCTCTTGTCTCTCCTTGCTATTCTTTGGAAGTCTGCATTCAACTTTCTGTAACTTTCCCTATCTCCCTTGCATTTTGCTTCCCTTCTCCTCTCTGCTATTTCTAAGGCCTCGTTGGACAGCCATTTTGCTTTCTTGCATTTCCTTTTCTTTGGGATGGTTTTTGTTGCTGCCTCCTGGACAATGTTACGAGCCTCTATCCAAAATTCTTCAGGCACTCTGTCCACCAAATCTAGTTCCTTAAATCTGTTCTTTACTTCCACTGTGTACTCATAGGGGACTTGGTTTAGATTATACCTGAGTGGCCCAGTGGTTTTTCCTACTCTCTTCAGTCTAAGCTTGAATTTTGCTATGAGAAGATTATCTTAATACATTGGAAACATTCAATACACATTCTAACCCCAAAGAATTGTGTGTGCCACCACAGAGTTTTCAAAGTATAGAAAACTCAAAAGTGGTTCACCATTCCCTTCTTCTTCAGGCATATTGGGACTGTGCTGCTTATCCAAGATCACAAAGACTGGCTTTTCTGGGATGCACTGTGGGGAACTGAACTCCCAACCTTTGGCTCTGCAGTCAAATACAGTACCTAACTCACTAAGCTATCCAAACAAGTTGTTGTGGGTTTTTCGGGCTTTTTGGGCATGTTCTGAAGGTTGTTCTTCCTGACGTTTCGCCAGTCTCTGTGGCCGGCATCTTCAGAGGACTGGAGTAGGAACTCTTGTCCATCACACGTCAGGAAGAACAACTTTCAGAACACACCCAAAAAGCCTGAAAAACCCACAACAACCATTAGATCCCGGCCGTGAAAGCCTTCGCGAATACTATCCAAACAGGCTTAATCCTAAAGAAAGGAGATACCAAAGAGTAGCGCAAGTACAGAATCGTTGTACTAACTTCTCATGCTTGAGATTTTGCCACATCTAGGCTCAAAGTCTATTCACAAAGCTAAGGTGTATTAAGACTGATGTCATAACCAACCACAATGATTTTTTAGAAATAAAATATTTCTGATTCTATCCCTCTTCCAAAGGTCCTGAGGCTCCCACGAATTCCCCTTCATTGTCAGGAAGTCATTGGGGACTGTGGAACCAGGTTTGGGAGTGTCTTTGATTTTCATAAATTGCTGGTGCTGGATAACTTTGATATCTATAGAAGAACTATATACCTTTAGTACTGACAGTGAAGAAATATAAATAGTTCATGTTTTTCTATGGGTTGGCTGAACTAACAATCCAAATGGCAACTGCAACCAAGAAAACAGAAGACACAAACTTGAAAGGGCAATTATAAAGGAACTAGAAAAGATCCTTTACTATTCCTCAGTACTATGGATGGATGTGAAAGCTGGACAATGGAGATAACACAAAAAAGACTGTTTCATTCAAAAGTTGGTACTGGGGTGTTGCATACCACAAGAAAGACGAAGTTGCAGCTGAAATGTTGTTATAAGCTTAAAATGACTAATTTATTGCAGTCTGAACATGTGATGAGAACACAAGACTCATTGGAAAAATTACAATACTAGGAAAAGTAGCAGAAAAAGATCTTGCATTGGATGGATTAATACAATAAATGAAGCTACTGGTCTGAGTCTGCAAGACCTCAGCTAGGAAGTTAATGATAAGAAGCTGGAAGTGACTTAACATCATGTAAGAAAAACAACAGTAGTGAGGAAGCACACAACCTCCTGATATGATTGCGCACAAGCAATTGCAGTTGGAGGAGATATGGAAACATCTATATCATAAAAGCAATCAAGGTTTTTATGGCATGTTAAAGGCTACAAAAATGGTGGCTCTATGGCTTGGAAACGGGGATGAGCACTGTGCCCTAGAGTTGGACACGACTGGACTAAATGTCAAGAGGAACCTTTACCTTTACCTAAAGGCTATCAAGTGATTTGGCAGAAGTCTTTTTAGACTGGAGTTGTATTTAACAGCAAAGCTAAAAAAACCTACTCCATATTTAAACAACAACTTCCCTTCCTATTTGCATATTCCCAGTCTACACTACCTTCTCAATTAAAATAAGAGATGAGAGAGTGGTTTTTGGACTTAAATTCACTCATCAAGTATGTCCAGTACAAACAACAGCTACTATCTGGAATTATAAAAGCACTGAACACTACTCTTCATTAAGATAGAAATATAATCCATGCTGACATGAAAGTAAATTGTTCACTTGCAAAACCCAAGAAACCTGACAAGAAAACTGGACTTTGAAAGAATGGAAACAGTACAGCTGAAGAAGATAAGAGATTTCACCCCAAACTACACATACATTTTTAAAAATTTCTGGATACTTGCTATCTGAATCACAACCTTCAAGAGTGTCTCAGCCACAAACTACATTATGGTCATCCAGGACATACTCGAAAAAACCACAGGGTGTTCCTGGAAGAATGTCCAAATGACTGTTACCAGAAACTTGACAGACAGCATGCCTTAAGAGACCCTGTGTGTGTCACCTAATCATGTTATTCTCCACTACCAAGTCTTATCAATAAAACTCTCTCACATGTTTACATTATATGAATAACGTACAGTACATCAGAAAATACATAATTACATTTCAAGAGCAACACTGCAACTTAATGTAGTTTTTGTCATACAAATTTAGGCATAGGAAAAATTATGGAAAAGTAAATATGCCTCCCATTCTTACAACTTCGTGTTCGCATCATCTCATTAAAACAAAGGAGGAATGTGAACAATACCAGCATTCTACATACTCCACCTTTATATTTGAAATGTTTTTCACATTGCAAAAAAGTACTAGACAATTAAAATGGTTTAATTCCTTGTAAAATATGCCCATATTTGGCAAGACCAACCTATTATGGCATAAATATCTACCTCTGTGGCTTTCACAAATTTTGCTAGATATGGTAGCATTAAATACAAAGATATCCAATAGTGTACTAAATTCCAGAACACTATGTTTACACATTATGAAGCCAACAGGACTGTGAATAAGGAAAGCTCCGCTCTATGAATGTACTCACATCAACATTCTAAAACAACAGTTAAGTATTTCAGTCTAAATTATCTCACCAACAACTGGGCTGTAACTAGAGGCAACACAGCACAAACCAGGCAGGAAAGTTTTTGGCCTCTCCACCACCACGACTTTGATGCATCAAGTCTTCCCTAAACACATAAACCCCCGCTTCTAAGGTTTTGGCAGCAAATGCATGTCTGCCAATACCAAAGCTGAAAAACAATTACCAATATGATCAGCAACTGTGCTACTGATCAAAGTTTACTACGTATTAGCAGTCCCAGTTGCTTTTAGGGACGGTATTCAACATTCCAAAATAAATATTGCATGAGGTTCCCAGTGTAGTGGGTAGAGAGATGGACGAGGACTCAGGAGAACAAGGTTCGAATTCCCTATTTGGCCATAGAAACTCACTGGTGGAGTGGGACTGTAAAAACCACTCCTTAAATATCCCGCTTCCCTTGAAAGCCCTATTAGGGAGGCTACACAGGGGTGAAAACCAAGCTTAGTAAACAAAAACGTATCTTTTTCTATAAGATACGTTTTTGTTTACCAAACTTGGTTTTTTTTCACATAACAGCCGGAGGTTTTTTTTTTCCTTTTCTCTACGCACGAAAGTCCGACCAACTTTCACCCGCCCGCCCCCGTTTGCCCAAGAAA